CAAATCGCATAAATTCCTTNTACTAGGTATATTTCCTATATTAACTTCTCCATGTAAATACCAAATTTTATAATTAGGAGTAAATCCACATTCATACAAATGATTCCATACTCTTTCTATGGGAATAAATTTACTATTATCACAACGAATACAAGGACAAAACATTTTACCTCCTCTCAAAGTAATATCTTGGTTTGCAGCAAATCGCATAAATTCCTTCAGCCCTTCTGCAAACTCTTTTGAAATCTGTCCATTTGAATCCCATTGATTGTTCATCCAAGAACGAAAATTTGAGATATTTGAAGACATTATCAGTGTGTTGTTTTCTTTGTTTCTGTGAATTGCCTGCAATGGTGAATTGATTATATAGAGCTCGTGCTTTAACGGCTAGTTTGTGAACAAGCTGAAAGTCAAAATTTTGATCATTTTGTGACCACTTCTAAACGGTCATGAACGGCTGTTTTTGAAAAAAAATGTGACTTCGTTTTGATCAACTTCTGACCACATTTTTGACCATATTCTATTTGTCAATATTTGGTCATAATTTTGTGACCAGTTTCTAAGCAAACGTTTTTCGTCACTAATTACTGACCACTCTTTGTCCACATCGTTTTATCATCAGTAAATTGTCGGTTTGTGGTCACAAATGTTTTTGATCAGTTTAGGTGGTCAGAATGTTGGTCAAAAATTATTATGTTTCCTTGTAGTGTAAGCCTGTATATGATATATCCTTTACTGGAACAACCAAAAGTATGGTTATTGGTTTTCAAAAGTGGATTGTACGCTAAATGCTGATTATGATCATGTAAGAACATGATTAACCTCGATTTTTTATTTGAGATTTTTAACTCATGATTTGATATTTTCGACTAAAAACGTTTCTTATATCTGTTATTTAAGAGACGGTTCTTATATTTTATAAGTTAAAAATTAAAAAATGTATCTTCGTCGAAATTAAGAATCCTAATAAGAAACCGGAATTAATTATGGCCCAAGAACTTTTGACGATCTCTTGCTGTCAATTTTTTTTATATGAATGTTAATATTATAGAAAAAACAAAAAAAACTTGAAATTCTATTTTGGCGAATTTTTTTTTTGTTCCTGAGAAGTTGATTGGCAAGATCACCGTAACACCTCAGATTATCAATGATCGTTCCATCAATAGATGATGGGTCCAATACTCTATGGAGTTTTAAGTATTTTAAAAGAAACTTTCTTGTTTTTTTTCTCTTTGGATGAAGCACGTCGCTACAGTCATACTTAAATTTTGGGGTTAAAATATTAAACCCTAATTTTTGTGTTGATATTTTTTAACCCTAACCTACCAATTATTTAGTTAGATAGCGTATAAAACAATATCTTAACTAAAGATTGCTACATCCAAAAGACGACGATAGTCGTTGACTTGTTCAATATATATCGAATATTAACCTTCTAGAAACTATAGGAAACATCGTAGGAACTTACAAATTAATTGTAGATAAAACAAACAAGACAAATTTCAAGCTCCCATAAGTGAATAATATATTACGTTAGTCGACTAACTAATTATAAATTAACTTAAATATAATAATGTAACTGTAAAATAGAGTAGATTTCTCTTTTTCCTTTTCTTCTTTTCTGGATAAAATGTGAATTTATATCAAAAGATGTTTACATCAGGTCGACGAAACTACAATAGTTTCACAAAGTCCAAAAAGGTGGAAAAACACCAAATTGAAACTAGGGAAATAAGCAGAAGATAACTAGGGAAATATTTTCTAATCTTTTGTTTCCTGATAGTTAAATTATCTCCAATAGAAAACATCATTTTTTTTCTAAAATAAAGTAAAAAGAAATATAATATCCTATATCTCGTTTTATAATCGAATAATGAATAGAAAATTACTTCATTTATAAAATAAATTCTGTTATAAAAATGGAAATTTGAAATATTTTTTACACTATTTTCTTTATTTTTTGGAATAAAAATGGAATTAAGTTGGAGATGTCTAGTCCATAAACATAAGGCATTTTATAACCTTTCTTCGGAAGATATTTTTTACGTCACTTTAATTTAGTTTAAAAGTTTTATATTTTTATCATTTACAGAAAATGAAAAGGCAATCTAATGTCCTCGATCGTGTCTGAATATACTGTGGCGGTAACGGAAAATTAGTATTTTCCATCAGTTTGTTACTCGTTTAATAAAAGAAACTTGATAACATGTGCATTTATAAGTTAGTACAGTTCTATAAAATAATAGATATTGATAAAATTAAGTACTGATAAGTAGGTATCTATGTGGCATATAGTCAAGGTAAAATTAATATGTGAACCCCGATTATGAGTAAATAAAGAAGGTATGGGCGGGTACATCACCAAGAACGTGGTTTTTTGGGAATTTTATTTTTTACTAACAATGTTTATGGGATTTTTTTTTTTTTTTTTGGTAAAAGTTTGTGGGATTTTTCAACCTATACATTTCTCTTATTTTTGTGGGAAATATTATTTCTTAACTCAGTACTTTTTTTTTTTCTTCACATCTCATAACTAATTAGTACTAAATGGCATAAATGAATATATTCTCTATTCATTTTAGAAGCTCAATGCATGCACACATCCACGACGGCTTCGCAAATCGCAAGTCGCAACATTCCTCTTGTTTCTTGTAAAGATTTAAATTTTTCAAAACATTTACTAACTTTTTCTCAACATATAGATCATAGATCGATGTATCTAAAATTGTCAGATAGTTTAGGTTTTTATCTTTTTGTAAACCAAAATGGTTCCTAATATAGTCGTCTTTCCGATAAAGTTAACGCGTTAATTAACGTGATTTTTCTTAGACTGCATCACTGTGAAGTTTCATTTGGTAGTGCCGTAGTGGTAAGGATATTATTAGTATATATAAAACGACAGTAAGAGTATTAAACTATTCATGATGCAATTGATAGGTTTATTGGGTAAAGTGTGAGTGGAAGATTACCGTATTACTATACAGTAAGCCGGAAATACGCTGTGCTAGACATTTTTGCGAGTCATATTTATTTCTCAAGTTGGTTTAAATTTAAAGATGAGGTGCACTAATCTCCGTAAAACTTTACTCTGGGAGTTAATATGAGCCTATGAACATACTTATAAGAAAAGAGAGCCTATGAAATAAAAAGTCAAATAGCGAAGAGCAAATCTACTTGAACTATATTGATCTAGATTTGCTCCAGTAATTTATTTGTTAGTGAATTTGCCAGAATTTTTTATGAGAATTTGCTCACCTCTAATTAATAAATATTGCACAATATACTAACAAAAAAAAACGCCATAAATATATATTACCCCATAAGTTATGGACATTTGATGGGTCGACAATTCAATGGATGTATTCACAAAAAGGAGGTGACATTAAATTAGGGCTGCATGGTGTAAGTTGCTAAAACTTGGAAATCGATGAATATTTTTTTAAAGTTAGATAATTAAATGTATATCGGCGTATATGCATTCTTTTATGCTGGTTACAAGATGTCGATGCAAATTGTAGTCTATGCTAAAACACGTTAGGCAGTACAGTTATTTTTATATCAAGACAATACTCAATGCATGGTAAATGATTCGAAAGTGATATATATATATATATATATATATATATTTTTTTTTTCTTACCCGAAGTTATCTTCCGATCGATATACTACATAACATAAGTATTTGATTTTATTGGCCTAAAGTATTTGATAAGAAAGAGCTCTTGTTTTCGCTAAACAAAAACAATATAAGATAAGATGAATCATTCTTTTTATTACCAATTAATTTTAGATTTGAAATTCATCTAACTTAACACTGCAAATAAATCATTAAAAAGTGATACTGCACAAGAAAATAATTTAAAAGTTGTAAATATATCACTTTTTCTTAATGATTTATTTGTAGTAACAAAAACAAGAATGCCTTCTAATCATATATTTCAGGCAAATAAAATCAAATACGTACTTACGTTATAAACCAAAGAACCTCTATTGTCTGATAAATAGAACTTCATAAGTTATATCGAAATACTAACTTTTTCCTCTCCTTGTCTTCTTTCGGTGCCACCTCCTTTACCTCATACATCATGCATTTATCAGCACCACACGGTTTTGAATGTCCAAACTGATATGTATTCACAGACACATGCATGAATGTGATATCGATATCAACATATACGTACGTATATAATATATCTATGTATACTTGTCAAAATTCCGTTAATCCCCTGTAAAAAGTAATTGTCCGTGTAGATGGTCTCGATCTCAATGGTTAAAAATAACTACAACATATTCATCACAAAAATATTTTCATATATTGAGAGTGGTGATAAATCAACACAATAAACTCCGTCGAGATTAGTATAAGTTGCATGGTCCATGGAGCCGGTTGTTTTTTGTGTGTTAATCTTCGATTTTGTTTATACTAAATTATGATGCTTTATCTTAAACAAACATTATCAGCAATTTATCTCTTTTATCCAAAACTAAAATTTAAAATATAAACTAAAACGCAAATATGCTATATGAATAACTAATTACAGCCTACTGTTTTGTAGTTGTGTAACCGTGTCATATTTTATCTGATATCAAATTTGGAGTATATAAGAAAGTTATAGATGGAAAAAAAAAAAGGAAAGAAGATTTTTTACAACATAAATTCATTTTTGAGTTGTTTGTTTTGAATTAGTAAAGGCAAACGTCAAAATAAATATATGTGTTTCTAATCATGTAAGTTCAATAATTCAGAAAAAAACGTAATGCAAGTCCATAGAAGTAGAGAGATAGAAGGAGGCTGACTTCGAAGAGAAAGAGAGTAAATGCATTTTGCTGTACATGTTGACTCTTTGAAAGCAAAGCCAAGCCGCTTCATTATTGTTGCTTTTCATTCCATTAATTTAATAATCACGTACTAATTAACTCATTCTCTCTCTCATCTATCTTACTCACTTTTCCTATATATATAACCAACATCTCTCTCCACTTCTTCAGACAAAAACAAACTCATTTGGACTTTCTTTGTCTTCATCCCCAAAATTTCGAAAATCTTATAAGGAAAAACACAAATATCAAGTTTTTGTTCTAATATCTCATCAAAACCCTTTTTAAAAAAGTCGAACTTCTTGCCCTAAACAATAAGAGAAAAAATGGGAAGACCACCTTGTTGTGAAAAGGTTGGAGTGAAGAAAGGGCCATGGACACCAGAGGAAGACATCATCCTGGTTTCTTACATTCAAGAACACGGTCCGGGAAACTGGAGATCTGTCCCAACTAACACAGGTTAGTCTTTTGTAATTTCTTGATCAATTACTAGTTAGCCTACTTAATTAAACATTTAATTCTTTTATTTTTTGAATTTTATCTGAGGGTTTATGATTTCTATTTTTCTCTGCCTTGGTTGGTATGATCATTAAAGATGAGTGAATTAAATAGCCTAAAGTTATTTCACCGACTCTTTCGACCACACATATCTAATTACCAATTTACCATTATATCACTTTTTCTTTAATTTATTTGTGTTTAAATCTATTTAATTTGGTGTTTTAGGTCTAAGGAGATGTAGCAAAAGCTGCAGACTGAGATGGACTAATTATCTTCGACCCGGTATTAAGCGTGGAAATTTCACTGAGCATGAAGAGAAGATGATTGTTCATCTTCAAGCTCTTTTAGGCAACAGGTATATACATGCACATGATCTATATTTAACCACAAAGGCTCTAATTAAGTGTATATATGTATATAATAAGATTTAAACATATGTTTCTTTGTGTATAGATGGGCAGCTATAGCATCATACCTTCCAGAAAGGACTGACAATGATATAAAGAACTATTGGAACACTCACTTGAAGAAGAAGCTCAAGAAGATCAATGAATCTGGTGGAGAAGATATTGATGGCTCCTCTTCATCAAACACTATTTCACAAAATCAACATCAAACCTCAAACAAAGGTCAATGGGAGAGAAGACTCCAGACAGATATCAACATGGCAAAGCAAGCTCTTTGTGATGCTTTGTCTTTAGACAAAAAACCATCATCAACACTTTCTCCATCATCATTGTCAACACCAGTAATCATACCTCAAACCGTCCCTAGCTTCTCTTCAGCTCTACTTGACCGTTGTTATGATCCATCCTCTTCTTCTTCCTCTACCACAACCACCACTACAAGCAACACTACTAATCCATACCCATCAGGGATATATGCGTCAAGTGCTGAGAACATCGCACGGTTGCTTCAAGATTTCATGAAAGACACACCAAAACCATTAACCTTGACATCCTCATCACCGGTTTCGGAGACCGGACCACTTGCTTCAGCAAGTTCCCAAGAAGGTGGAGAAGGGTTTGAACAATCTTTCTTTAGCTTCCATGACCAAAACCAAGAGAGCAAACCGGCAATAACAATGGACCAGGGTTCTGGTTTGATATCGCAAGGATCTTTGTCTTTGTTGGAGAAATGGTTATTTGATGAGAACATGGTTGGTATGTCTCTAGGACAAGAAGCGATGTTCTAGGACGAAATGAAGTGGAATAATTTGAGGACTTAATTAGTTATGAGTTATAACAAATATTATAGAGTTATAACCTATAATATATATGCTTATTATTGCATCAGGGTTTTAGAGTCTTTAGAAGCTTTTAGCTCTACAACACTCTTTTTCCCTTTTGGTCATATAATCTTCCTTTTTTTTTGCTTTTCAATTGTATGTTTCTGAACGTAACACAAAGGGGTTATAATCTTCATTAGTGTAATGTACTGGCACTTTGTGACCAAATGGTTATGTATACCAATGTTTTTTTAAGGTTTCTGGTTGTTCTTGATCTATGTATGTATTATTAATATACCCAACACAAAAAATCATCGTTATATAGATTTAGTTTTCTAATTTTTATCTCAGCAAAGGGTAATCTAGCGTTTAAACCAAAATAATACTTTGAAAACATATATAAGTATCAGCATTCTTTACACAATTTAATTTTGTTTTTACCTGTTATTTAAAAATACTCAAAAGTTAAATTTAGTTTGGTTTCGATATTACTCAACTTTTAAAGCATTGATATATTTAAAAAAAAAATGGTCTAGATCCAATAATGGCTTTTTAAACTGGAAATATAATCATCTACTAAGCTTATTTCTATCCTGAATATGTTTTGTCAATTCAGTTTCTATTCCTATAAACAAATATATGAAAGAACTAAAACAATATTTATCGAAAATTTCCCTTTCAAATCAATCACAATCCCTGAAGACAAAATGTCATTAAATGGTAGTAATATAAAAGAGTCTACCTACTGGATTTATAATTTTACACTAACATTTTTAATACATTGAAATATTTTTATTTACTTATTATAATTTTGATAATCTATCGAGGACTTAAGCTGTAAGCCTGTACACCTTGTAGATTTGTAATTGACCTAAACATTATTCATCTCACCTAAACCAGGCGATTTCCAAAAATGTATGTTTCTTGGTTTTGTTTTATAATGTATAAAAATCCTTTTAAAAGGGAAACCCCAAAAAATCGATTTTGAAACATTTAGAAAGACTTCAAAAATACTTGTAGGAACGTTTTGATAGCTTGTTATGAAGATTTTATTTACGTTTATTTAATATTTTCTTAAAAAATATTATGACTAAACTTGGGAAATAAACATAACACTAGAGCTTGACATGCACGTCCATGCGGATACATATTTTCATTTTTATATATAGGAACATTATTTAAAATTTTTATTAGTTAGTATTTTAAATATTTATCTTATTTAAAATTATTATACACATAATAATTAAATAGTTTACATGTAAGATATTACATAATATTATTAAAACTTTAAATTCTTATACACATAATAATTAAATAGTTTACATGTAAGATATTACATAATATTATTAAAACTCATTTTAAAATTTAAAGTTTTCTAAAATGTAGCTAAATCGGTTTAGGAAATATCTTGATTCCTAAATTTTAGCTAAATTTGATATAAAGAAATAATTTAATAAAATATGAAAAGGTAATGATTAATTAAAATTAAGACTATTTAATATTTCAGTGACTTGAGAATTTAAATATTGAAAAAATCTAGCATCAATTTAATTTTGTATTCCTGTTTTAATAGATTAAATGGAGCGATATGATTCTTTTTCTCTAGATAATCCAGCATCCAACAAGAAATTTTTATTAGAACTATACGACAAACAATGTTGTAGTGAAAGTATGGCAAAAATACATCATCAAACAACCGATACATATAATTTATAGTTTAATGATCTGTGGTTTTATTATAGTGACATGATGATTGTGTTAATATCCGATTTGAAACCCACCTAATTTAGAAGGCGTGTTGTTAATAGAAAAAGTGGATCAAGAGCCAAGAGGAAGATATGCACGAGTAGACATATCCAATACGTATACAGTATGCGTACAATAAATATAGGAGGCAAAATCTAGTGGTGGAAATAACTTTGAAAATATACAAATAATATAAAATTTATGTAAAAAACAAATAAAAACGAGAAAAGAGTATTAAATGCTAACATGTGAATGGCTTGACTTGTGCCTGCGGAAACAGTGATCAAGTTGGTTATATAAGTTTCCACAAAATAAAAATAAATATATTTAGTAAAAAAGAACATTCCATAAAAATATCCCAACTAGATTTTATTAAACTTTTTTATTTAAATTTTTTGTTACTCAATTTAATCTTCCAACTAATTATTTTGCATATTAAATACACAAAAATTTATAACTGTACTCATTTAATACCAAAAATTTATTTATTTTAATTAACAATACTAATAAATTTCAAAACAATTTATAAAAATCTCTAAAGTCTAAAAAAAGTATTTAAAATTTCTAAGTTTACTTAAAGATTTAAGAAAGAAGGTAAACAACTTTTGGAGAAGATTTAAAAGTTAAAAAAAAATTTTTTGAAGGAAAACAAATTAATTTATTTTTATTTTATTTTAGAAAACAAATTAATTTCAATATTTAAAACTTTAAAAACTATAACAAATTTAAGATTATAAAAAATTTATTTACTTTTATTTCTCAAACACAGGAAAAAAATAGAATTTTGTGGAAAACTTTGAGTATTGAAAAACTTAACGAAATTTAATTGGATTATTTTTCTGGAATTTTTCCATAGTAAAACATAGACATAAAACGTGTAATGATTATTTACTAGACATATTAGGAGCTTCACTAATCAAACATCAGATGTTCACTAGAAGCAAACATTGGTTGGTTAAAAATGTAACTATGACGCATCTTTACATACCAATCAGTCATCACACACAAGAGATATTCATATGTACCATGGACTATATGCGATTTGTCTGTGTAAAGAATGGTTGGAGATGAAACTGTGCTTTACAAATATAAGAGAGGCCTTTACAAGTCCATATACAAAGGACGAACAGAATCAAAGTGAGATATACATAAGCTAAAAAAAGAACACAACAGAGTCTAGCTCCGGTCATTGTGATGCAAATAGCAATATATAGAGACTATGGTACTGTTCGTTTACATGTCACTGCGACATGTTTGTTTTGTTGTCGGAAGGTCATGCAACTTTGAACTTGCTACTGTTACCGTCGCAGAATTTTTAATTCTTTGCAACTGATTATCAAGACACCCAAACAATCAGGGTTTATATATTATATACATTAAAGATCGTTGGTAAATTCTTAAATGTACGTGTATGCACAAGCTTTATTTTCAGTCTGTAATAACATAGGCAGAGAAACTTCCCGTGTTTGGTTTTACTCAGTTTCGTGGTTTCCTCAGAATAATACCCATAAACAACAAAACAGCTATTACAACAGACAGCGAAAAAAGTTGAGAAAGAGAGAGATCAAAGTCGTGGATGATGATGAGGATATTTTGGTTTCTCTGACCGGTGCTCAGGTGATATTATAAATCATTGTGGTGAAGAAGCTTCAGGTTGGTGTTGTGGATTCGAAATCAGCTCAGGAGCTACAGCAAAGTGCAATCCTCCTCTGCGTTGTCCTCCACTTCCAGCCCCGTTGTGTAGCATAAACGCAACTTCTGCAGCTGCCAGAGCTGCTGCTTCCTGTTATTCACAACACACATAACATAAGTAAACATACGCTTAGATTTAGTGCATGTCAGTGTGCTTCTGAAAAGATGTAGATACCTGTCTTTGTCTTCGGCGTTGTAATATACTGATGGCCCAAGCCATGATGTAACATGGGAGGAGAAAAGCAGCAGCACGAAGCATAAAAAGCTGACAAAACAATTAGGTAATGTTATCACAAGAGACCATAATGTAAGTTCATGTAAAGGATTATGAGTAAGAGATTTTGCTTACAAAGAAGAAAGCTGATGGATCATCTTCTTCATCGTCTGAGTTGTTGTTTGAAAGGTTCATTGCGTGTCGTAGCAATAAAAGCGCCATTAACTGTCATTTTAAACTGTTAAAATAACATTTCCTTCTCAATAAAGATATAAAATAAAGATACAACTATGGACTTACGATAAGAGCAGCGGAGCGAAGAAAAGCAGCTCCACTAGAGTTAGAATCAGCATATTCATCATAGTCCGGATCAAAGAAACGGCGTTCTGCAGCCGCCATCGCAAAAATGCGCGGGTCGTTGAAGTCTAAAGGAACACCATTAGCCCAATCTTCACTGCACAAAACAATAGTAACAAACCATGAGTAACGTGACAATGTTTTGCTACACGAAAACTGATATTAAGAGATACAGATTCAAGAAAACGTTACCCGATATCGATTACAGTATCATCAGCAGGAGGAGGCGGTGGAGCAGTGTAACCAGGTTGATAACACTGTTTCAATCAAAGAAACTAAGTAAGCAAAATAGTAAACTTACAATGAATCATATTTTTACTTATAAATGATTTTGATTAGTACCTTGTGACATATTTCACAGATAGTGTCGCCTTTCTCATTACACCAACGCTGAACACACTTCCTATGAGCATACTGTACACACACAAACATTAGTAAACAAACAAAAAAAAATTAGTTTTCAGCTGTAATTATATGCCAAAAGAACAAAATAATCAGTTTTCAGCTATAATTACATAACAAAAGAACAAAATTAAATCAATAGAATTCAAAAATCAACCTTCAAACTGCCGCTACAAGAACATGGAGATTCGAGATTCTTAACAGAATCCTCATCTTGACAAATACGGCATTCAACCGATTGAATAAGCGGTTCCTCCTCTTCATCAGCCACGTCATCACATTCTTCTACTTTAACAGTTTTATCATCAATAGATTTATTATTATTAGTAGTAGAAGAAGAAAGGCTTGTGGTGGCTTGAGCTCTTGAACTTTCTCCACAAGATTCAATGGATCCTCCTCTGTCTGAATTAAGGTGATCAGATGTTACAAGACGGTCCGTACATGAACTCAGATGATCAGACATCTAACGTTTGACCTGTTTCAAAAAAAAATCAAGAAAAAATAATAATTTAACTAAGACAATCGAAATTTCGTATCTTTCAATCGGAAAATGTCTTAATCAAACGATTAGGATCTTAATTAGATAAGTCTTTGATTTCTTACGATTAATTCAGAAAACGAAACCCTAAAAATCGAAATTCCCCAAATCGCAGAAACGAACAATCGTAACCCTAAATACGAAGAAAGATCAACGATTTATTATTATTTACCTGATGGAGATAATTTGGAATCGTAGAATAGGGGAAAAGAAGAATGAAGATTTTTTTCGATTTATTGAAGGGAAGAGCTCTCTCAAAACGAAACTCGTACAAAATGTGTTTTTTTTTCTTTGTTCTGTCTGAAGGATTCTTCAGGATATAAAGTACATAAAAATATAGAAGCGCGTGTATACAGAAATGTATGTATGTATACATAGCGGAAGGTCGACGGTTTGACACGGTGACGTCCGTTAAAAGTACATGTTGAGAAGAGTTGAGAATCTTCCAAACTAAACGGTAACGGAGCTTTTAATTTTTTTTGTACCAATCCTTGTTATTGTTAGTTTTTTTTATAGATAAAATTCATTAATCTTATCCTACTAGGTGTTTTCCTGCACCAAGTACAATGAGAAAATTTTAAATTTAAATTATATTTAGTAATAAGTTTTATAAATATAACATATTTTATTATTTTTTAGGAATATTTAAATTTAGATTTGATTTAGTTAAACATTAAATTAAGATAAAATAATTTTGTTTATTTAAAATAATATTTAAGAATATCTATGTATATATATTTTAAATTATAATCTTAGATAGATTTTTTTATCCATTTATATTGCTTAAATATATTGAGTTAATATGTATAAAATTAATAAAAGTGATATAAATTTGTATAATTATCAAAAAAATTTAAATTAAACAGTATTTACAGAATTTGTAGATAGATAAGAAACTAATGATTTTACAATTAGAAATTCATATTTTAAAAAAATTATAACAATTTTTGAAAACTTTGTAATACAAACTGTATAATATAAAAAGTAAAATAGCAAACTATTTCGAATTTGTAATGTTGTGTTTGAATATATTTATTTTAAAGATGATGTATGAGTTATTACCATATTTTATATTTATACCATAAATAAATATTAAAATTAAATGTAAAGTATGCGTTATTACCATATTTAAAGAGTTTAACAAAAATATAACTCAAAACAAAATGTGATTATCCATGTCATATTTTCAAGAAGCCATGTCATCAATTATAGTAGCAATGTCACATTTTTTATGTAAACTTATTATAAAAATCACACGTGACAAAATCACTTTGCAAAATAATATATAGGGGATTTTATCTTTAGTAATATTGCTCAAATTAAAAAAAAAAATACAAAGTGCATATAAGTCAATATTTTTTTTTCAGAAAATAGGATAAAATTCATTATATTTAGAAATTCAGGATTGAGGTGTTGATATTGCATTGCAATATTGACTATCACTTTGTAATTTTATTTTAAATTCAAGCAATACTGTTTGTTTTTTTGGTTGAAGAACAGTGTTGTCAGTTGTTGAAAAATTAAGACGTTACATTAATTGCAAGAGGTGTAGTTTGACTTTGACATGTTCCTCTTTGGCAAAACTGCGATTGAATAAGAAGAAACAAAGGACGTCTACAGAAGTCTTGGAGGTGTCGTGTCCGACGGGTTGAACACTCTTAAAGTTTCTCTTTAAAACATGTTTAAAAGATTCCCAAATTATTCTTCTAATTTTTAAAAATAGTTCATACTGATTGGAAGGCTATTAATATTCAAGAATCTTACAATATAAATGTGTGCATAACCTTTAAATAATTCTCTATGGTTTCGTTAGAATCCAACGTCCGACAGAGATGCATGTCTTTATACTTTTTGGTTTTTCATATGTATAACGTTTATATAGATCATAAGACTAATTTTAAAACATTATTTTGAAATACCCAATGTTTATATCGTGATTGTGTTATATTTCTATGTTTATATTATGATTGTTTAGACCAAAAAACTTGTTGTAGTATTTCATTCTATTATACAAAACATTTTTATCATAAAATACACAATCAACTGCATTTTCGTCTCGCTTTTTAATTTGTGGAATAGCATTTTGCAAGATGCACTAAAAACACTACTATTATTAAGAACTATTGACAATGGGCAATGCTCAAAACGAGGCTCTGCTTTTTTTCAGGGGATAATTCTACTTTATCTCATTTTTAATAGTTTGCGAATTATATGTCTTTAAATTCAATTTTTATAACTTTTTTTCTTTTCAAAACTATATTTTCAAAAATTGAAAAAAACATAAACTATATCCCTTAAATAAAAGAAATTATTTAGTCCTAAAGATTAAATATTATTTATCTTTTCAAAACTAAAGATAACTCGCAAGAAAATAGTAATAAAATGTGGTTGTAATCAATTTCTCTTTTTTCTAGTTGTGTTCTTTTATCAACTTTTTTTTCTTTTGTCAACTTTTTTTCCAAGATCACGATTGTTTATATCAGCGAACCTCACATTTTAAAAAGAACTAAATAAATAGAAGGGAATTGGCAAAGATAAAAAGTCGTTACATTTATAAATACGGTGATGAAAAAATAGTAAAGGAGTAAATAATCCCTTATATATTAATCCTGGAACATTACAACATATTTTTGTAGCCACGTGTCATCACCAGAATCATTCTTAGAATCCTTAGAAAAATTAGTTGATCCATATAAATATATACTATACTTTTTATTAAACTAACTATTAAAATAATTAATAGTGTATAAAACATATATTTTCTTTCCTTAAATAAAAGCTACGGGATAATTAATATGATTACCATATATATATGCAATTAATGACTATGAATAATACATATATTTATGTCCTCTCTCGCTTTTGTTTAATTTTAAATTATTAAAATAAATTAAACAATAATATTAAATCTATTATAAAAAATTATATTTTTTTCTTATATCTTATATTTCAAATTTTTTAAATCGACCATAAATTACTAAAAATAGTAAAAGTCTCACATTAAAATTTTATGATCAATGATTTAACTTTATTTTTCCAAGAAAGATACAGTTATCATAAATCGTACAAATATGAAGTCCTATTAGTAGATATTAATATTATATATATATATATTAATATCACTTAAATAAAATTATAAACTATATAAATATTTTAATTTAAAAATTTCTGTGAAAATTGTTTAAAATCTTAATATATTAGCTTATCTGGGTTAAGATATAAATATACAAAATATAAAATTAAATCACTTATGGAAAGTTAATAGTAAATAAATCGAGACCAGAAAACCTAATCCCTTTATGTCATTTTATCGCAACACTTAATTTATTTTTGTGCATATGAAGTTTAAAAATAATTAAAATGAGCTATACTTTATTTTTTTCAAGCAAGATACAAGTTATCATAAATCGTATGGATATGAAGTCTCATTAGTAGATATTCATATTATTTATATATGTATATATATTAATATCACTTAAAGCAAATTATATACTATATAAAATATATAAATATGTTAATTTAAAAATTTCAGTGAAAAATGTTTAAAATCTTAATATTTTAGCTTGAATAGGTTAAGATATAAATATACAAGGTAGAAAACTAAATTACTTATGAAGAGTTAATAGTAAAAAAATCGAGAGCATAAAACCTAATATTCTTTTTTNTTAATATCACTTAAAGCAAATTATATACTATATAAAATATATAAATATGTTAATTTAAAAATTTCAGTGAAAAATGTTTAAAATCTTAATATTTTAGCTTGAATAGGTTAAGATATAAATATACAAGGTAGAAAACTAAATTACTTATGAAGAGTTAATAGTAAAAAAATCGAGAGCATAAAACCTAATATTCTTTTTTTCATTTTATCGCAAAAATTATTTTCTTTTTGTACATATGAAGTCTTAAAAATAATTTATTTTATCTTAACTTGAAGTACATACCTAAATCTGAACCGGAAAAAAAAAAGTGAATCTGGATTCGAGCCGTTATACAAAAATATCCGATCTGGACTTATGAACTTAGTACTTTGGGTTTTTGTTATAATCCGTACCGAACCAAAATTCAAACTATGATATGTAGAATATGTTAACGTCTTTATATATGTTAAGGTAATTTATATATTTTATAGTATTTGAAAGATTTTTTTTGAATATATCAAATTTTTTTGTCAACTTTTGAGATTTAAAAAATACATTTTGGGATGAATTCAGATATTGGTTACAATTTAATCTAAACTAAATTGAGAAGGAACCTAATCGAATCTAATCCGATAATTAGTAAAACCCGAATGAGAATTATGAGCATAATACCAAAATTTAAAAATAAGTCTCAATCAAACCAAAATCGACGAAGTCTAAAATGTCCAGACCTATGATAATTTAAGATACCAACATTTATATTCATCATTTTACAATCGATAAATATTGTAGTGTTGCAAAATGTTAAAACATTTAATGAATAAATATTACTATAAAACTCATCCCGCGCATGCGCGCGGGTTATCATCTAGTAAATCATAAGAATGGACCGAACCGGTTCGCTTCAACCGAAAACCAAAATCAGATATAAAGAAGGCCGCTTAGCCGATTTTCAGTAGGAACACTCACCCTAAAGCTTAAACCCTAGCAAGAGAAAAAAGGCGAAAGCAATGGCGGAGCAACAAGAGATCATTGATACCTTGTCGGCTGAAGTAAAGCCAGACCCAAAAGCCGTTAATGAAACCGCGGAGAAACGTGAGAGAGAAGAGCAGACGGAGGAAACAGAGGTCGGAACCGAATCTAAGAAGCAGAAGGTGGGAGACGAAAAAGAGAAGTCTAACGGTCCGGTTAAGCTTGGTCCGAAGGAGTTTGTTAGCTCCGTGGCGATGTTCGATTACTTTACCAAGTTTATGCACTTTTGGCCAACTGATCTCGATGTCAACAAGGTATGTCTTGTTGTTACTCTGCTTACTCTCCTTTTTGTTTTTTTTTTTAATTGTAAAGTTTCGATTTTTATGTATTTGTAACTGTAAAAGTTTCAATTTTTTTTTGAGATCATTGCAAAAAAGTTGTGTTCTTTATCGGCTATGTGATTGTGTTTGTCTTTAGAAACTTTGTTTTGTCTCTTTTTATCATTTGTTTATAATGATTTTGGATGTTGGATTATGTAGTGTGTTTATATGTTTCATAGTGGCTTGTGTCTTAATGTCTTTTGGTGGATAGAAGATTGAAGTGACAGTTGTTGCTGTTTCTTTTGGAGTTTGTAACGAACTTGTTGTTGGTACATTTCAGTATGAGCACATGGTGTTACTGGATCTGATCAAGAAGGGACATTCTGAGCCTGACAAGAAGATTGGTGGAGGGATCAAAGCCTTCCAAGTAAGAACCCACCCAATGTGGAAAAGCAGGTGCTTCTTTCTTGTTAGGGAAGATGACACTGCTGACGATTTCAGCTTCAGGAAATGTGTTGATCAGATTCTCCCATTGCCTGAAAACATGAAGGCTCCTGGATGTAGCGGCAATGGACATGGTGGGGGTGGTCGCGGTGGTGGAAGAAGAGGTGGTCGTGGTGGTGGTAGAGGAGGGAGATTCAGAAGATGATTTTGCTTGATCATTTTTGATGACTCTTGTTGCCTTGCTATAGAATGAAATTTTGGAGCTTTCATGCTATGTTCTCTTGCCAAAAACTTATTTTATCGGATGCTAATGTTATTTTCTCTGAGAAGAATTGTCAGTTTATATCACATATTTTGATGAATTGGAAGAAACAACAGCTTGTCTCTATGTTCACTACATCAAGTATCAACCAAAGTTTGCAAGGTTCTTATTAGTTTTTTTTATCGTATTCGTTTTACTCCAAAACCTCTTCTCCTCTGTAGCTATATCGTTTTCACCAAAGAGTAGTAGTAGTAGTGTGTAAAAACCCTATGACTTGACAAAAGGAATTATAGGTGATTCGCGGGATCCGCAATAGAATCTGATGTGTAAAAGACAGTTTGGTTTAGATTTCAGGTAAGATGATGTGACAGAGAATTCAGGTATAGCCAATGAGAATGCGACAGCTCACATTATTTGACATTTATTAAGTACAAGTTTTTGCATAGTGAAATTCGTTCATACTTTATAGTATTGAATTAGTTTTTTCCGTTGAAATTTTGAAAACAAATCTCAGTTTTTTGGGTCGTGTTTGGAAAGATGAATTTGGTATGGTTTGTTTATATATAAACGTTGCGTTTGTACTAATGTTCACAAATATTTAGCTAGCTTCTTTTAGTATAATTTTTGATAAAATATTCCAACTAAGAAAAAAAACATCTGGTTTATTTTCCAAAAATCAAGTGTATTTTCTAAAGGGTATTGGATAAGACTGTTGAGTTTGTACAAATGATTTATAATAAAAGTACGTATTGAACTTGTTCGTTCTAAGTATATCTGTGTTCTATATATTATAAGAGAAGAGAGTAGTGTATAACTTTTGCTGGTGAAGTTTATGTTATGTTTTATTGCTATGACATATATTGTTCATTTGCTTCTTTTTCTAACAAACGAATTGATCACCTGAATCCACTAATTATTTTTCTAGTTTGGATCCGTTGAAAATACTATAAAGTCGTTGAATTCTAATACAATATTTGAATATCATTGTTAATATTTGTTGGTTAAAGATTAAGGAGTTGAGAGAAGGTTGATATATACAAAGATGAGAACTAAAAATATCTTAGAACCTTTATTTTGTAAGGCCGAATGGCTAAATGGAGAAATATAATAAATTATAAATAGATTCATCTTAGAATATGAATCTAACCCGCACTCGGTTTAGATGGACACTACATATCAGCGAATCTTTAAGTTCCACAAATCAGTAGTGGTCTCTAAAGCCTTCGGCAAAAACACATTGAAACCTGAAATCAAATCTCGGTTCCCTTTAAATAGTCTCCTTACGTCTTGTATGCAACCATCCCTATCAATTCTACAATCATAATATGTTTGAAATTAATTAGTATTAACAAAAAACAAAACATATTCCCATATTGTATAACTATATATATGGATACATACCTCCTAGCTTTAAAATTATTCATAATCACAAGAAAATCATCATATTTTTCACGATCGTTCTGAAATCTATCCTTCACAGTCCTAATGTATGCATATGCATCATCTATAGTTGCTTTTGGTTTACTTCCTTCTCCAGCCATGGTTTTCACTTTGAAGTTGGTCTAAGGCTCGAAGCTTCATAAATTTCCAAACAAAGAGAATTAACTTTTGCTTATTTCTTTTGCATTAAAAAAATTAACTATTTTCTTTGACAAAAAGAACATTAATTATTACTTAAAATCTACTTTTCTCTAATGCATCATACATATAGCCTTTTGAAAAGAAAAACAATTTGTATCAAAAATCTTAATTCAAAATTACTAGAATCAAAGACATCGAAGAAACTTCCATATAGAGTACGAGACATGACTATAATTAATTTCACTGATAAATTAAATCTAAAAAATCTTATTATGTACGAGGTCGTATTTTTTAATTTAACAGTTAATAACGTAAGAAGAAAGAACATTGTCAAATTTGAAATATCATGTAATTTCATCGATATGTACAAGAAAATTTCATGTAAATTTCTTATGCACTGTAAACTAATCAATAACACATTTCATCAGTTTATGGTAGGTCAAGAGGAAACAATACTTTCAAGTTTGAGAGATCATGTAATTTCATCGACCTCTACAAGAAAATTTCCTGTAAATTTCTTAGTACACTGGAAACTAATCTTAGTAAAAATAGAATTAGCAAAATCGAATTGTGAAAAAGTTCAAAATAGGGGGATCTAAAATCATAACGAGAACAAGCTTCACCTTTGTAGCACTAGGGCACATGAATGGTTTTTGAGTTGTATGGACCTCTTTTATATATAGAAAACTTTCATAAAATCAGTCCCTTTGACATTAATATCTTTGTAGCAATGAGGTATAAATCTACGATAAAAGGTGATGAAATAAAGATGTGTCTGTTGCAAACTAAAGTTATACAGATTTTATGTACATTTAGTAAGAAAACAAAAACAAAATCTTAACAAACATCTGTCAAAGCTTATTGAACCAAATTTATTATTGATTACTTTTGTAATATTGTGGCATTTATTTTTGTAATCTATAAAACCTTTAAAATTTAGTTGATATCAATCAAGAAATAGATAAATGTGAAAGCTTTGATTTCATAAAATCTAAAAATATGATTAACTTAGATATTCAGTATATATAAGATTTTAACATGATCCAGATATATAAATATATAGTAAGGTTACTTTATGATAATGCCTAAACTTAACCAACATTTAAATTAATAAATATTTTTTCTTATATATAGTAAATGTAAATCTAATATGTAAAATGTAATATGTGATAAATTAGAGACACGGTTATAATTATAAATTATAATGTTATAAATAAAATAATTAATTTCTTAAAAATAGTTGGAGTTTGGGATTTCTTCAAAACCTAAAATCAATATATATGAAAGTTCAGATGTAGACAATATGGGAGTTAGATTATGTAGTGTGTTTATATGTTTCATAGTGACTTGTGTCTTAATGTCTTTTGGTGGATAGAAGATTGAAGTGACAATTGTTGCTGTTTCTTTTGGAGTTTGTAACTAACTTGTTGTTGGCACATTTCAATATGAGCACATGGTGTTGCTGGATCTGATCAAGAAGGGCCATTCTGAGCCTGACAAGAAGATTGGTGGAGGGATCAAATCCTTCCAAGTAAGAACCCACCCAATGTGGAAAAGCAGGTGCTTCTTTCTTATTAGGGAAGATGACACTGCAGATGATTACAGCTTCAGGAAGTGTGTTGATCAGATCCTCCCGTTGCCTAAAACATGAAGGCTCCTGGATCTAGCGGCAATGGACATGGTGGGGGAGGTCGCGGTGGTGGTGGTGGAAGAAGAGGTGGTCGTGGTGGTGGTAGAGGAGGGAGATTCAGAAGATGAATTTGCTTGATCGTTGGTGACTCTTGTTGTCTTGCTATAGAATGAAATTTTGGAGCTTTCATGCTATATTCTCTTGCTAAAAACTCATTGAGTTTATATTGCTGATCGGATGCGAAAGTTATTTTATCGGGGAAGAACTGTCAGTTAATATTTCACGTATATTGCTGATCGAATGCTAAAGTTATTTTATCGGGGAAGAACTGTCTATTTCACATATATTGCTGATCGGATGCTAATGTTATTTTATCGGGGAAGAACTGTCAGTTTATATTTTCATAATAAATTTTTTAAAGATATTGATGTTAAAAATTTAAGAAAATATTTAACTTTTTAATAAATATAAATATTAAAAGTCAAAAATTTTTTTTGCCCAGGGGCCCAAACAAATGTTGAGCCGGCCCTGGGCTTTGCACTACAGAGCTGTAGATCATTTGGGTCACAAGCTCTTATTACATCTAATACAAGACCGACGTATACGTATGAACAAACTTCAAATAAAGTTGTAATGTCATGCGTACTCTGAGGTTGAAATCTATAATAATAAAGTTGGGTTATCTGCCCTCTCAAGCTATCCACGTCACTTTTTAACATAGGGGAATTTTCACCACGTGTCATATTTTGGTTGGTTCTGTGACTCACGTGTGTTTCGTATTATTTTGAACCTTTTCACACACTTGACCAGCCTGTAGCCGTACCGTTTTGATATTACGGTTGAGCCCCTCTTCATCTCCGCCATTCTGAGATCGACACACACACCTGAGTTCTGAAAGCCTGTGATTCCTCTTCACAACAACTGACAACAAAATCTAAGGTTCATCTTATTCTTCGATCCTGAGCATCATCACCAACAATGGAGATTCAGGAGGATGCCTAAGTTTAATGGTCTTGAAGAATCTCTATAAGAAGTTTTGATTGCGTCTTTACGCATTCTTTTCTAATCCTCTGTAACGTTGGAGTTTATTACTTCATCGCTTTAACAAAACTCTTATACCATAAACCCACGTTGAGCACGATCTGGGATTGATGCATCTTATCCCTCTGCAAGTAGATCTCTCTGCACCTATAACAGGGAAGCCCTCTCTCCTTGAACATCATCCTCTCAATCCGTGGTAAAAAGTTATTTTTTTCCTGTGACTGGCTACCTCATCAATCCTTCTTCTTTAATGGCTTCTTGAGCTGCGACACAAGAAGCTGCCATGAACGCTGTCTTCATCGATTCGAATCAACCCTAGGATGAAGGATTCGCTGAGATCTCCGATTCTGTACGTCTCATTCCTTCTCTTGAGCTCTCACTCATCATGGTCACTCTCTTCTTCTTATTATTATTTGAATCGGCTTTGAAACTGAACTTTGATATTATACTACGGAACATGGAGTTATTTTATGAAATTGTATACTTGATGTTCTGAATATTTCTTTACTGTCTGTAAGTCTTATTGTTTTCTCTATTTTAACATAGAAAGTTTAGGTCTTTAATTGTTTGGGTTTAACCACAAGTGCAACATTGTTTTGTTTCTCTGTTTGAGAGAAATTTATTGTTTGTATCCATATGTGTTTTTGATACCAAAAAGATAAGTTTCTGCTGTTTATCTATGTGTTTTTATGCCAACACGATATTCTTCTTACTGTTTATATGTGTTCAGATAGAGGAGCATTAGGTGAGAAGATGGAATTGAGATGAGGATGATAGCTCTTACGGTACCAGTTTCTAATTTCGCACACAAGGTCAGGATCCTCCATTTAAAATTATTGTACATATATTCATGATACAAGCTAAACTCACACAAGCTTTGTTGGTTGGGGTGATTATCATTCAGGTTATAGATATGCTAGGAGCTTAACAGCTCCCTCTGGACCCAAACTCTATAACGAAGAACATTGCTCCAGATAACACCAACAGGTGTGATGCTGCTGCAACAATCCTAGACTGTCCTAAGGGTCTGAAACAATTCCTGCCCAAACTGATCCAGTGGTTAACCCGATGGAGGAAACTACGGACGGTGAAAAGTGTCCCAGTCCTAAGAAACTTAGCAATGCCTGATCACTCCAGCTCTAAAATTCCCAAATATTATTTCCAGTTCCTAAGTTTTTAAGCTTGAGTCAATAATCTTTATGTTTCTGGAACTTTTTTATTAACCAGTTATGGTTTTCGTTATTTTGGTGTAATTGGTACGTGACTTTGGTCTTTATATTCAGGTTATAATTTTTTTTTTGTTGTCAACAGGTTAAAACTTTTTAATCTCCAATTTTTTGGTTTCTCTTATTTTGGTCTAATTGTAATATCAGTATTCGGTTATCAGAATTTTCCTAACTGATAAAAACTAATCCGCAAATTGGCCGAGTTTTTGACTAACAATGGGGTTCTGTTAAATACTTTCATGTTATATTTGTGGTCTTTCTTCACCAGTAAATTGGTATCATTCTTTACTGGACTTGACTGTCCATACGTGACCGCATAAGGAATTTCAGAGTTTTAACATCTGGACTATCAGCTTCGTCTCACTTCAAATGTTAACGTACCTACGGTGGGTAACACACCTCCTTTTTGTAGAAGGAAGCGGGATTCAGTATTGAATAATGTGTTGTTGAAGTTTTTATGTTAGTCGTACCTGCCATCGCTCCTACAACAATTCTACGATGTTGTGCAACTAAAGTGCTTGTAACAAGTCATGAGCTGTATCGGATTTCTGAATTTGGACTCTCAACTTTGCGTTCATTTGTTATGTGGTGCTACTCACAATTTGTATATCCAGAAAGATAAGCCATTACATACGCATTATTGAAGTCCTCATAAGATTATACACACTGCATAGACTTTGCGGTCTTTGACATATATACATCTACTAACATACACACACATCTTAATAAAAAAAACACACACTTCAACAGAAACAACCACCAAATTAAAAACAACACGTTTAAACATTCGGTTTCAATCAAAAACCATGTTTAGCAATTCCATATTCCTTAGTTATGTGCAGTTTGACCAAAACAGTTTTTTAACCTTCTCTACGCAACGATTTAGCTAAAAAATTTGGTTCTTTGACCAGCCTAATCAAATAATTTTGGTACTCTATCGGACAACAATTATATAGCCGCAAATTTATGTAAAGAGTCGATTTCTACGTTTTATACTGCCTTTGGAGACAGTGCCAGAGAAATGAGAACTCCATGATTCTAAAAACATAATTAAGGTTTAAAT